TTATGTGGTGTGTGGGTGTGAGGGTTCAGTGTGTGTGTGTGAGGAGAGGCTTTGTGTGTGTGTGTTAGAGAGGCTTCAGGTTGTGGTGTGTGAGGGGTTCAGGTGTGTGTGTGTCTGTGAGAGAGCTTCAGGTGTGTGTGAGGGTGTGAGAGGTTCAGGTGGGTGGGGTGTGAGTGAGAGCTTCAGGTATGTGTGAGGGGTTCAGGTGTGCGTGAGAGGTTCAGGTGTGTGTGTGTGAGAGGTTCAGGTTGTGTTGTGTGAGAGGTTCAGGTGTGTGTGTGAGGGGTTCAGGTGTGTGGTGAGGGGTTCAGGTGTGTGTGAGAGTTCAGGTGTGTGTGTGTGAGAGGTTCAGGTTGTGTGTGGTGAGGGGTTCAGGTGTGTGTGAGAGGTTCAGGGTGTGTGTGAGGGTTCAGGTGTGTGTGAGAGGTTCAGGTGTGGTGTGAGGAGGTTCAGGTGTGTGTGAGGGGTTCAGTGTGTGTGAGAGGTTCAGGTGTGTGTGAGGGGTTCAGTGTGTGTGTGAGGGTTCAGGTTTGCATGTGTCTGTTTCTCTCCACCGGGGGGGCGTTTATGTCAGAATTATAGTGTGTGGTCAGATCTGTGCTGTTTCACCTGTAGCCACACCCATCAGTGATGTCACAGTTACATCACTGCAGCCAGGTGAGACATTAAACCACTGGAGGTCAGCAAAGAGCAGATTTCAGGACGTTTTGAGTTGATCTTTAAACTGGGAACCAGTTTGTTGAATCTGAAACACGCAGTGGATCCAGAACCAGATCCAGATACAGATCCAAACCAGAACTAGATCCAGAACCAGAACTTGATCTAGATCCAGAACTAGAACTAGAACTATCCAGAACCAGACTTGATCCAGAATCAGGTCCAGAACCAGATCTAGAACCAGATACAGATCCAAACCAGAACTAGATCCACAACCAGAACTAGAACTAGATCCAGAACCAGCTCCAGTCTCTGAGTTAACATCTCTGTCTCCTCAGGCCGTGGGCAGACCAGGAGTCCAGACCGTTCAGACCCGTACACCTGTCGTCATCAGTCAGAACCTCAGACTCAAGGTGAGTCCAGCTGCAGCTCCACTCTGAACCACTGGAGGGCGGCGACTCTCCATCACAGCAGAGACTATGTGACCTTTAGATCAGCTGTCGTCACTGTAGATCTGGAGCTGATCCTGTTCTGCCTTCCTCAGGTGCGCTCGTCAGAGGACCCACAACCATCATCGGCAAAGTCTCGTCAACCTGTCCGCTCAAGCCAATCAGAAGAAGCTGAGTGACCCAGGGGGCGGGACATTCAGGTGAGAGGGAGGTTTTCATTCAACAAAGCGTCACAGGGAAATCTACCTGATGTTTTCAACATGAGGTAAAGACGACTCAGGGACAGGTCGCACTTTTTTCTTAAATATCCTAAGGTTTCATTTCCTCCGCTGCACAGACTCTAAACGGCTCCGAGGAAAAGAGTTAATATTTAATAATTTAGTTCTTCATTCAGGTCATTGAAGATCTTCATCATCTCTGGGATGTTTTCATTTTCTTCAATATGGATCTTATTATTATTATTATTATTATTATTATTATTATTATATTTTAGATATGTTATATATATTTTATAATTTATTTATGTCTGTCTTTTTTTGTCTACTTGATGTTGTATTCGCTTTATGTTTTAATGTCTCTGTATGAACCCTCTGGGCTTTCCTTCCTCTCCTGCACATACAGTTTCTTTTTTACTGTGTAATATTTTACACTAACTTCTGTGCAAATAAACAATTTTTATAAATTTAGCAGCATGAACTCAGACATGTTGCATTTAAGACAGAGTCAGAGAATACCTTTAGTTTTTTCTAGTTTCATCACTAAGGTGTTTTGTTCATCAGTTTAACTGAGGAAGTGATTTTCTTAAGAGTAAGGCTTAAGATCAGGAGAAAACCTTAAATACTTAAGTGAACATTTTAAGGAAACCTCAAGGTTGAAACTTAAGGGTGTTTTGAGCAACTGTTTTTATTTAAGGAAACCTTAAACTGAGACTTTAAGGAAAATTCTTAACTTAAGGTGTTTGAGGTGATTATTCATAATGGAACAGTTATTCATATTTATAGGAAACTGTTTTAAAAACGACTGTAGTAGATGGATGTTTCTCTCGACACGAGGCAGTGACTCAGTCCAGATTCAAACACACTGAATCACAGTGATGAGGAAGAACATCAGGGGGGTGTAGTTGGTGTAGTTCACAGATCAGCCACAGGGGGCAGCAGCGCTCCACAGTGTTCTCCTCACTGAAGCTGAGCTGCTGCTGCCCTGTTTCACTGAGGGGGCGGGGGGGGGGGGGGGTGGGGGGGGGGGGGTCAGAGAGTCTGTCACACACTGAATATAAAGGAATAAAAAAGACACACACCCCCTTGGACACAAACTGTCTGAGCCCCCCCCCCCCCCCCCCCCGCCCCCCGCCCAGAAAAACAGCTCTTCTCAACTTCAGTTAACCTCATCAATAATAATATATAAAGATATAATATAATCTGTCCTTAAAGACTCACCTGGTGGAATAACAGAAAATAATCCCTCCTCTCTGTGTCCTCACCTCTCTGTCCTCAGAGATGACGATGCATCAACGACGTGGCGTCCATGGCCGGCGTCAACCTTAACGTAGGAGAACGCCGTATCCTAGCAAACCAGCTCGGAGCTGTGGGCACAAGATCCGCTTCCTGTAAAGACGAGTCCTTCCTGCCCACCGGGTGCTGCACACCGCCGCATCCTGACACACAGGTACATGATGCGTAAGAGGGTTTGAGTCTGATGGTCTGGAGAGGAAAAACCAGGAGACAGAATCCACCTCAGCACCAGAACCTGAGAGATTCTGTGTCGTTCACCAAGAGGAGCTGGTCTGTCTGAGTTCAGACATGTAGCTAGAGCTGATGGAGCTGATGTTCTGTTGGTTGAGTCGTACGAAGACTTTTCTCTAGTTTCACTGCCATGAGGTTTTACCTGTCTGAGCGCAGCAGCAGCAGGTGACGGTGTAACTTCACCTGCTCCTCTGCTTCCATGTTTAGCCTCAGTTTCAGTCTGCCGTGCTGTGGCAGCGGGACGAGCAGCTTGACATACTGTAGGGAACAGGTTGTTAATATTAATGATCGGGGGCCGGTCTACTTCAGTCTGACTCCAAAGGTTTCATTTCTCTCAGCTGAGGGAGTAACTTAAAGGGTGAGACAGGTGAGACTCCTCAGGCTGGACACAGGACCAGGAGGCGTGGTCACTTAAAGGATCCAGGTCACAGTGATGTGACGAGCAGCCGCCTCAGTCTGATCGTCATGGAAACGGTCGGATTTTAGTTTGGATCACCTGGTTTATTTCTCACCTTCAGGTTTGTTCTGGTTCTTCTTGTCAGTTCTTCACCAGCGGCCACCGTTCACTGTGTGTGATCATCAGCTGACCGGAAGGAGGGCCACCCCCAGCACCTCTGCGCCCCCCCCTGCCGCCCCCGGCTCCGTCACCACCACCGCCATCAGACCGCGACTGCCCATCAGTCCGGCCACCAGCACCGTCAGACTGAACACGCCGCTCACGACCACAACGGCTCTGGTACGATGAAGGGGTTCGTGTGTGTGTGTGTGTGTGAGAGCTTCAGGTGTGTGTGTGAGAGAGCTTCAGGTGTGTGTGTGTGAGAGCTTCAGGTGTGTGTGTGTGAGAGAGCTTTGTGTGTGTGTGTTAGAGAGCTTCAGGTGTGTGTGTGTGAGGGGTTCAGGTGTGTGTGTCTGTGAGAGAGCTTCAGGTGTGTGTGAGGTGTGAGAGGTTCAGGTGTGTGTGTGAGTGAGAGCTTCAGGTATGTGTGAGGGGTTCAGGTGTGCGTGAGAGGTTCAGGTGTGTGTGTGTGAGAGGTTCAGGCGTGTGTGAGGGGTTCAGGTGTGTGTGTCTGTGAGAGAGCTTCAGGTGTGTGTGTGTGTGTGTGTGTGTGTGTGTGTGAGAGCTTTGTGTGTGTGTGTGAGAGCTTTGTGTGTGTGTGTGAGGGGTTCGTGTGTGTGTGTCTGTGAGAGAGCTTCAGGTGTGTGTGTGTGAGGGGTTCGGGAGTGTGTGAGAGGTTCAGGTGTGTGGGAGGGGTTCAGGTGTGGGGGAGAGGTTCAGGTGTGGGTGAGGGGTTCGTGTGTGTGTGTCTGTGAGAGAGCTTCAGGTGTGTGTGAGAGTTTCGTGTGTGTGTGAGAGCGAGAGGTGTGTGTGTGTGAGCGGTTCAGGTGTGTGTGAGGGGTTCAGGTTTGCATGTGTCTGTTTCTCTCCACCGGGGGGGCGTTTGATGTCAGAATTATAGTGTGTGGTCAGATCTGTGCTGTTTCACCTGTAGCCACACCCATCAGTGATGTCACAGTTACATCACTGCAGCCAGGTGAGACATTAAACCACTGGAGGTCAGCAAAGAGCAGATTTCAGGACGTTTTGAGTTGATCTTTAAACTGGGAACCAGTTTGTTGAATCTGAAACACGCAGTGGATCCAGAACCAGATCCAGATACAGATCCAAACCAGAACTAGATCCAGAACCAGAACTTGATCTAGATCCAGAACTAGAACTAGAACTAGATCCAGAACCAGAACTTGATCCAGAATCAGGTCCAGAACCAGATCTAGAACCAGATACAGATCCAAACCAGAACTAGATCCACAACCAGAACTAGAACTAGATCCAGAACCAGCTCCAGTCTCTGAGTTAACATCTCTGTCTCCTCCAGGCCGTGGGCAGACCAGGAGTCCAGACCGTTCAGACCCGTACACCTGTCGTCATCAGTCAGAACCTCAGACCTCAAGGTGAGTCCAGCTGCAGCTCCACTCTGAACCACTGGAGGGCGGCGACTCTCCATCACAGCAGAGATCATGTGACCTTTAGATCAGCTGTCGTCACTGTAGATCTGGAGCTGATCCTGTTCTGCCTTCCTCAGGTGCGCTCGTCAGAGGACCCACAACCATCATCGGCAAAAGTCTCGTCAACCTGTCCGCTCAAGCCAATCAGAAGAAGCTGAGTGACCCAGGGGGCGGGACATTCAGGTGAGAGGGAGGTTTTCATTCAACAAAGCGTCACAGGGAAATCTACCTGATGTTTTCAACATGAGGTAAAGACGACTCAGGGACAGGTCGCACTTTTTTCTTAAATACCTAAGGTTTCATTTCCTCCGCTGCACAGACTCTAAACGCTCCGAGGAAAAGAGTTAATATTTAATATTTAGTTCTTCATTCAGGTCATTGAAGATCTTCATCATCTCTGGGATGTTTTCATTTTCTTCAATATGGATCTATTATTATTATTATTATTATTATTATATTTTAGATATGTTTTATATATATTTATAATTTATTTATGTCTGTCTTTTTTTGTCTACTTGATGTTGTATTGCTTTATGTTTTAATGTCTCTGTATGAACCCTCTGGGCTTCCTTCCTCTCCTGCACATACAGTTTCTTTTTTACTGTGTAATATTTTACACTAACTTCTGTGCAAATAAACAATTTTTATAAATTTAGCAGCATGAACTCAGACATGTTGCATTTAAGACAGAGTCAGAGATACCTTTAGTTTTTTCTAGTTTCATCACTAAGGTGTTTTGTTCATCAGTTTAACTGAGGAAGTGATTTCTTAAGAGTAAGGCTAAGATCAGGAGAAAACCTTAAATACTTAAGTGAACATTTTAAGGAAACCTCAAGGTTGAAACTTAAGGGTGTTTTGAGCAACTGTTTTTATTTTAAGGAAACCTTAACTGAGACTTTAAGGAAAATCTTAACTTAAGGTGTTTGAGGTGAATTATTCATAATGGAACAGTTATTCATATCTATAGGAAACTGTTTTTAAAAACGACTGTAGTAGATGGATGTTCTCTCTGACACGAGGCAGTGACTCAGTCCAGATTCAAACACACTGAATCACAGTGATGAGGAAGAACATCAGGGGGGTGTAGTTCACAGATCAGCCACAGGGGGCAGCAGCGCTCCACAGTGTCTTCCTCACTGAAGCTGAGCTGCTGCTGCCACTGTTTCACTGAGGGGGCGGGGGGGGGGGGGGGGGGGGGGTCAGAGAGTCTGTCACCAACTGAATTTATAAAGAATAAAAAGACACACACCACCTTGGACACAAACTGTCTGAGCCCCCCCGCGCGCGCGCCCCACCCCCTCCCAACAACACCTTCCGCCAGCAAAGAATAACAGCTCTGGCTTCTCAACTTCAGTTAACCTCATCAATAATAATATATAAAGATATAATATAATCTGTCCTTAAAGACTCACCTGGTGGAATAACAGAAAATAATCCCTCCTCTCTGTGTCCTCACCTCTCTGTCCTCAGAGATGACGATGACATCAACGACGTGGCGTCCATGGCCGGCGTCAACCTTAACGAGGAGAACGCCCGTATCCTAGCAACCAGCTCGGAGCTGGTGGGCACAAAGATCCGCTCCTGTAAAGACGAGTCCTTCCTGCCCACCGGGCTGCTGCACCGCCGCATCCTGGACACAGGTACAGTCACCTGCGTAAGAGGGTTTGAGTCTGATGGTCTGGAGAGGAAAAACCAGGAGACAGAATCCACCTCAGCACCAGAACCTGAGAGATTCTGTGTCGTTCACCAAGAGGAGCTGGTCTGTCTGAGTTCAGACATGTAGCTAGAGCTGATGGAGCTGATGTTCTGTTGGTTGAGTCGTACGAAGACTTTTCTCTAGTTTCACTGCCATGAGGTTTTACCTGTCTGAGCGCAGCAGCAGCAGGTGACGGTGTAACTTCACCTGCTCCTCTGCTTCCATGTTTAGCCTCAGTTTCAGTCTGCTGCTGTGGCAGCGGGACGAGCAGCTTGACATACTGTAGGGAACAGGTTGTTAATATTAATGATCGGGGGCCGGTCGCACAAAACACCTGAAGTTTTCTACTTCAGTCTGACTCCAAAGGTTTCATTTCTCCTCAGCTGAGGGAGTAACTTAAGGGTGAGACAGGTGAGACTCCTCAGGCTGGACACAGGACCAGGAGGCGTGGTCACTTAAAGGATCCAGGTCACAGTGATGTGACGAGCAGCCGCCTCAGTCTGATCGTCATGGAAACGGTCGGATTTTAGTTTGGATCACCTGGTTTATTTCTCACCTTCAGGTTTGTTCTGGTTCTTCTTGTCAGTGCTTCACCAGCGCCACCGTTCACTGTGTGTGATCATCAGCTGACCGGAGGACGACACATCCTCCCAGAGTTTGAGTCTGGAATTAGTCCAAGGACAAAAGTAGAGCCAGAGGAGGAAACATCCAGAACTAAGACAGAAATGCGTCTAATTATTTCTGGGGCAGAAATGTTTCTGTGTCAGTCCTCAGAATTAAAATCTGATTTTAATAATCAAATAAAGAAGAAACTCGTCAGTGAAGGAGAGACGGACTCGACTGACCTCACTGACCTCAAACTTATTTTCTGTTTCCGTTCATATCTGGAAAGTCAGACTGTCACTCCACAGCAGACGTCTGGTTGGTGTTCAACATGGAGTTTATGTCTTTATATAAACTCTCCTTTACAATGATGTGCAGCAGATCAAAACACCAGTTAAAAAAGAACATCAGTTAAACATATTAATACAATTTAATAAATAATGTGATAGGAATCAATTAAAACTTAAAAGGTCAGAGATGAAGAATCTAAAACCACCAAGAGGAACCAACAGATTCATTTTCAAAGAGCTGTGTCGTGAAATCCAGGAAGGGCTTTGTGAACAAACACATGAATATAACTCATGTATATACATATATACATATACATACATGAGATATAGATCTATAGATCTATAGATCATGTATGTATCTCAGAGGAGCTGATACAGACTCGTTGTTTCTCGTCCTCAGCTAAGAAGCTGGGGGTGACCGAGGTTCCTCTGGAGGTCGTCAACTTCATCTCCCACGCGACTCAGTCCAGACTGCGCTCCCTGCTGGAGAAGGTTTCAGCCGTTGCTCAGCATCGTGCGAGCGGAGGGAAGGTGAGAACACACACACACACACACTCACACACACACAGCTCCTTCACACAGTCGGAGTTCTGCAGGTTAAACACCTGGTGACAAACATTTAGCTAGAAGAGTCTCTCCTCTCTACACGGACATGAAGGATCTCCTGACTTCCTCTCTGAGTGATCATGTGACAGTAAATACAGATGAAATCCAGGTGTTTTAAGTTGGCAAATTAGATAGACAGTCACCATCCTCCTTGTCTTCCTCCGTCAGGATGAAGAGCATCACGAACAGACGTCAGACGTTCGCTCTCAGCTTCGTTTCTTCGAGCAGCTGGAGCGAATGGAGAAACAGAGGAAAGACGAGCAGGAGAGAGAGATGCTGCTGAAGGCTGCCAAGGTACAACACACACACACACACACACACACACACTCTCAATCTGATACCTGTATAGTCACACAGTGTACAGGTGTGTTGTTCCTTCTTCTTCTTTCTTCTTCTTTCTTCTGTCCGTCCTAGAGTCCAAGGTGACATCTTCACATCACATTTTGTCGACCAACAGAACTGAAAACAGTCAATTTACTGTGATAGAAAATATTAAACTATTATTAAAATAGTTGCAGATTAATTTTCTGTCAATACACTGATCGATTAATGATTTGAATTGATCTCAGCCACTTTCTTCTTCATGGCTGTGAGATCAGTTTTTATCCTGTTTTAAAACCTGCTTAATGGTGTCCTATTAGGTGTGTGTGTGTGTGTGTGTGTGTGTTTTTCTGTCCTCCCATGGGGAAGACGTGACACATGGAAGCAGAGATAATTACAGAAATTATCTTCTAAAGACATCATTACTCACACACACACTCACACACACACACACTCACACACACACACACACTCACTGGGCTCATTACCTTGACGTTTGACAGAGATGTCACTGAGGAGGTGATTATTATACTGAAGAATATTGACTCATTATATCCAAATTAAAACCATCAATAGATTCAGCTCAACTTTACTCTGAAATACGGCGCTTTATTCTGAAATACCAAGAAATAAAAGAAAAAAAAAGGTCAAATAGATTTTTATATGTAGAACATGGACACACACAATTAATATTATAAAACATATGAATCTCTAAAAACAAATTAATATTTTTTACATTAAAGTTTATTATATTATATCATATTATATAATATTATATTATATTATATTATATTATATTAGTAAGTGATCGTCAGTCAGAGTCAGCGGGAAAATAAAAACTCCTCCTCAGTCACAGCTCAGCGCCCTTCATGTTTACCCATCAGCACAGAGAGGTCAAAGGTCATCAGATAGAAGCAGCGGTCTGACCCCTGTGTCTGTGTTTGACTTCCAGAGTCGCGCCAGACAAGAAGATCCAGAGCAGGCTCGCCTGAAGCAGAAGGCCAAGGAGGTACGACCCCCTGTGTGTCAGTGTTGTCTTCATGTGAAGGCTTGTGTTGTTGAGTCTGGAATGTGTGTATATATATATATACTCATATATATGTGTGTGTGTGTATATACATTATTATTGATCCAAGCCCAGTCATCCTGATCACTGATACTGTGGTCAATATGTCTGTCTGTGCACCACACCACTGACAGACGGAGAGAAGGTGGAGGTTTCCTGTTGTAGTTCATTACGTTTGTTTGTTGTTTTATTTCTTTATGTTCTTATGTCAACCTGTGGGGAGCGTCCCATTTCACTGTGTTCATGTTATCCAGCCTCCAGCTGACTGCACCCCCCCCCACACACACACACACACACACACACACAGTCTCACCCTCAGGCCGTAGCCAGACGCTCGAGTCTCTGCAGAGACCTCAGGGTCTGCCTGAGGTCTCTGCAGAGGTCAGGGGTCATTACCCATAAGTCTCAAGGCCCGAGGGCTGGAGGGAGGGGGGCAGCCAAGTGGAGGCATGTCAGGGCGGTCTGGACCGGTCTGAAGAGGTCACTCAGGACCTCTGAGTAGTGGTCAGTGTCTGGGTTCAGATGTGGACAAAGGTAGACCAGAAGAGGCTGTAGGCCGGTGACCTCAGCAGACGGGGTTAAAGGTCAGTGTAGTTCAGGACTGTCTGTCCCACTGTGAGGAGACAGTCCCTCATGGTCCCAGAGAGCAGCAGTGGATCAGCTGTTTGACAGAGGAGGGAAACGAGTCTGAAGTATAAATGTCTCCTTCGTGTCGTCGTCTTCACCTGAGGTCTGTTTCCACCTGGACGGCCACACAGAGCCCAAACAAACGTCGACGCGTGACATCGTGTTTGTTTTCCCTCCACAGATGCAGCAGCAGGAGCTGGCTCAGATGAGACAACGAGACGCCAACCTCACGGCCCTCGCCGCCATCGGGCCGCGCAAGAAACGCAAGCTGGACTCACCGGGAGGAGCCGCGGCTGGCACAGAGGTAAGACGTCAGGATCACGATCACGCCGTCGTTTAAAGCCAGTGACGAGTCGACCGGGACAGACGACCAATCAGGAGTCAGCTGATGTAGCTCCGCAGAGAACTGGAGAAATCTTTCAAATGTAGACACAGTATTATTAATAAAACACGTTAGCCACTCAGAAATTCAAGATGGCCGCCATTTCCAAGATGGCTGACATGTCTAGCAAGAAAATATAATTTTTCTGCAATAAATTCACCCACAGTTTTTCCCTTATGAACGATTCAGGTGTCACATCAAACATTTTACATTTTACAAATTAAAAGTCCTGCTGAATTAGAACAATCACATGGAGGGACATAATAATTATATGAAATAATAGATAATAATTATTAATAAATAAATAGATAATAAATAAGATTATTTAAAAAATTATTTAGAATAATATTTAATTGTGAATCTGACGTCCTCGAAGTCAAAAACAGGATTCAGTTGTAAAATCATTGAAATTCGTCCAGTGGTTAAAACTCTGTTTCCTGAGCTGGAAATGGCGGCCATCTTGGAAAATGGCCTTTTGTGATATCAAGTGGCTAATGGGATTTTTCAAATCAAAGGCCTCGGAGGGAAAAACACATTTGAAAGATTATTACAGTTATCTGCTGCACTGATTTCCCATGATGCCGTGTTTCAAAAATGAATCCCAGGCTCTGTGGACCCCATGAATATAGAGAAACACACACACACACACACACACACACACACACACACACACACACACACTCGTCTCTAATCCAGGCAGTGAATGTGACCAAAGCTGAGTGAAGGGGGTCAGTGTCTGCCTGGAGGTCCTTGTGGGTGTGGGACCCCCCCCCCACCCCCCTGAGGGCAGCCATAGATTTCAGCTCTGCAGAAATGAGCTCGGGGCTGAGGGTTGGATGGGGATCGGGGAGGTGGTGGGAGGGGAGGGGGTCATGGCTCGGGGGGGTTGCCTGCCTCGTGCTTGCCCCACCCTCCCACACATGCTCTCCCTGTCTCTCTACCCCCACACATCCCGCCTGAGGCTCGACCCCCAGCGGTCCCAGACAAAGGCAGCAGAGTGACGGGGGGGGGGGGGGGGGGGGGGCTGCAGAGTAATCCAACATTTCAGGGGCAATGAACTCTGGGAAATGTGAGCGATGTGCTGGCCTGTGGACTGTGGCTGCAGCAGCTCTGAACCTCTCACCTTTCAAGTCTTACACTCAGTATTCTCTCTGAAACTGACCTCATGTAAACTTTACTTACATCTTAAATTACTGATTCTTAATCGATCCAACCACTTATTCATCCATCTATTTCTGACTGCTCATCCAGAGCATGTTTAAATCATTGATGACTTTATTACTGGACAGAACTGAAACAATATGATGGAAATGTTGTAATTGTAAACTTTATCATCTCTACTGGTTTTTGTTGACACCTTCACCAGTATGACCAGGAAGCAGGTGTTACATTCTGTCCATGTTCTGTTGAGATCTGAATGTGGTGAAAGCCTGGTGTTTTCAGCAGGTCTTTAAGTCTTGATGACTGAATTCAGTTTTTTAATAATAAAAAAAAAGAAAGGTGTGAAACCTTTAACCTGTGGTAACAGTTTTTTGCCACTTGGTGGCGTCAGAAACAGGTTGTAAACACCTTGTTTCCTGCTCATGCAGTCGACTGGTTCATTCAAACCTTTATTTATACAGGGAAGGACGCCCTGAAACAAAATCCACAACACGACAAACAATTATCCATGAGTGTGAGTGTTTAAATGGTAAGCTGCGTTCAGTGTAATGTAGGAGAATCATAAAAGCAGAGACGGGTATAATATAGGACATAGTTCATAAAAGCATTTAGACTCAGCTGAAGCACACACATTCACACTGTCCTGAGTCAGCTGACACATTTACAACATTACACTGGATTAACTTCTTCACTCATCTTTTTTACATGTTAGTTCACGTGTGTGGAGCCTGAAATTTAAAAGCCAGTTTCCCAGTCTCAGTGCGAACATGTCGATACTCAAGGACTGACTAGTTCAGTGTGGAGTTGAGCTGAAGTTAATAAGACACGTCAGGTTCTCAGGAAGTTTGCCAGTAACTGCTGTTTAAATAGAAATGAAGAACCACACTGGTCACCAGGACCTCCAGGGTCTGGATCAAGTCTTGAATGAGATTCAGATTCTGTGTTAATGTCCAGCTGTTACTTTTAAGTGTCAGATCAGACACTGCAGAGATCCTCTCTCCATGAAGAGGTCCCACCCTGCCTCCGCTCTGCAGGACAGAATTCACAGCACAGACGATTTTTTGTTCTCTGGCTGTTGTTATCTGATCAGCCCGGAGCTGCTGCAGTCCGCCCTTCAGCTCCCAGCTGCAGGCCCCGTCAGGCTTCATCCGCCCCCACCCTGACGCCCCGGGGCTCGGCCTGTTATGAAAACACGCTAGCAACGAGGGAGCGCTGTTATTCTCAAACAACAAATAACCTGTCACAGCTTTTACCTGCTGAGGTCAGGAGGAGGTTCTGCAGGTTCCAGAAGCTCGTTTCAGATTTTAATACCACAGAACGACATTTAATACAAACCAGTGAATCATTATTATATCACATGTTTTTAGTTCTTCTCAGCTGTAGAGAATAGCAATTCATAATTATATGATTAATGACTCCAACACGAGGTGGAGAACGTGTCTGACAGAACACTGTTGGTGTAGAGGTGCAGAACGTCTGTTAGTGTAGAGGTGGAGAACGTCTCTCTTAGTGAAGAGGTGGAGAACGTCTGTTAGTTTAGAGGCGGAGAACGTCTCTCTTAGTGAAGAGGTGGAGAACGTCTGTTAGTTTAGAGGCGGAGAACGTCTCTCTTAGTGAAGAGGTGGAGAACGTCTGTTAGTTTAGAGGCGGAGAACGTCTCTCTTAGTGAAGAGGTGGAGAACGTCTGTTAGTTTAGAGGCGGAGAACGTCTCTCTTAGTGAAGAGGTGGAGAACGTCTGTTAGTTTAGAGGCGGAGAACGTCTCTCTTAGTGAAGAGGTGGAGAACGTCTGTTAGTTTAGAGGCGGAGAACGTCTCTCTTAGTGAAGAGGTGGAGAACGTCTGTTAGTTTAGAGGCGGAGAACGTCTCTCTTAGTGAAGAGGTGGAGAACGTCTGTTAGTTTAGAGGCGGAGAACGTCTCTCTTAGTGAAGAGGTGGAGAACGTCTGTTAGTTTAGAGGCGGAGAACGTCTCTCTTAGTGAAGAGGTGGAGAACGTCTGTTAGTTTAGAGGCGGAGAACGTCTCTCTTAGTGAAGAGGTGGAGAACGTCTGTTAGTTTAGAGGCGGAGAACGTCTCTCTTAGTGAAGAGGTGGAGAACGTCTGTTAGTTTAGAGGCGGAGAACGTCTCTCTTAGTGAAGAGGTGGAGAACGTCTGTTAGTTTAGAGGCGGAGAACGTCTCTCTTAGTGAAGAGGTGGAGAACGTCTGTTAGTTTAGAGGCGGAGAACGTCTCTCTTAGTGAAGAGGTGGAGAACGTCTGTTAGTTTAGAGGCGGAGAACGTCTCTCTTAGTGAAGAGGTGGAGAACGTCTGTTAGTTTAGAGGCGGAGAACGTCTCTCTTAGTGAAGAGGTGGAGAACGTCTGTTAGTTTAGAGGCGGAGAACGTCTCTCTTAGTGAAGAGGTGGAGAACGTCTGTTAGTTTAGAGGCGGAGAACGTCTCTCTTAGTGAAGAGGTGGAGAACGTCTGTTAGTTTAGAGGCGGAGAACGTCTCTCTTAGTGAAGAGGTGGAGAACGTCTGTTAGTTTAGAGGCGGAGAACGTCTCTCTTAGTGAAGAGGTGGAGAACGTCTGTTAGTTTAGAGGCGGAGAACGTCTCTCTTAGTGAAGAGGTGGAGAACGTCTGTTAGTTTAGAGGCGGAGAACGTCTCTCTTAGTGAAGAGGTGGAGAACGTCTGTTAGTTTAGAGGCGGAGAACGTCTCTCTTAGTGAAGAGGTGGAGAACGTCTGTTAGTTTAGAGGCGGAGAACGTCTCTCTTAGTGAAGAGGTGGAGAACGTCTGTTAGTTTAGAGGCGGAGAACGTCTCTCTTAGTGAAGAGGTGGAGAACGTCTGTTAGTTTAGAGGCGGAGAACGTCTCTCTTAGTGAAGAGGAGGAGAACGTCTGTTAGTGTAGAGGTGGAGAACGTCTCCTGTATATTGATTGTTTATATATCTGTGTAATATTTAAATCTGTATTGGAGCAGAGAGGTTGATCTGTGTCAGGACAGAGGCCACGCCTCTCTGTGTGTGTGTGTGTGTGTGTGTGTGTGTGTGTGTGTGTGTGTGTGTGTGGAGAACGTTCCCTCAGGCGGTGCGGCTTCATAAAGCTCTCTCTGTGTTCCTGTGTGGACCTGGAGCTTCATTCCTATCCTGTGCCGTCAGCTCCGTCTACAGAGTTGAACCAGACTCACTGTTTCACTCACAACTGACACAGGAAGTGGATGATGACTGATGATGGAGAGCAGACTGATATTTATTATCAATTATTTATTTATTTATGTGATTAATCATTTAGTTTATAAAAAGTTTAAAGATGATCAGAAATGGAACAAACGTCTCCAGATGTTGGTTCTGGTTTAATCTCTTGAGAACGTCATAAATGAAGATCAAAATAGATTCTAATTAATGAGCCATTAATCAATTCTTTCACCTCGTGTGATGTTTCTGTTATACAACAGTTCTACCAGCGCCATGTTAGAGAAATAAACAACAACAGAATATGATTTGTTTGTTTATTTCATCATTTATTTTGCTACGACTACACAAATAGTTCATCAACTGGACTGGTACTGGACTGTTGCTAAGCAACACAAATATGTCTCTGACCTGATGATGTCATGTGAGCACATCTGGGGGTGTGGTTTCTGAAGTGTCCAGGCTTCTTCCTTCATCCTGTCCTGACGACCACACATCATTTCATTCAAACGTTATTTATATTATATTTTCATCGTTGAGATCGATAACGACATTAATGTGACGCTGATTAACGGTTGATAGAACAGTCCCAGTCTCATGCCTCTCGTCCAATCAGATGACTTGGTCGAACTATCTGTTTAGTTTTATTTAGTTGCATTTCTTCAGAGTCTGTAACATGTCTGCATTCTGAAAATAAAACAATGTGATACATATTAAAATCCAAATAAAACAGGAAGAGTAAGTGCTGAATAAATGAGAGTAGAGAGCGAGGCTGGTGACGGAGGCTGGGGAACGCAGCTCGTTGTCGGAGCTGATTTACATGTGAAGTGAATCGTGACTCTGGCTGTCGGCCGGTCTTGTGTCGTCTCGGCCTCGGGCGCCGCTCATGAGTGAAATAGAAGCTCAGTTGTCTCTGTGATCGTTTGCACCTCCGGCTCTCACACATCACTCGCTGCTATGTGAGGAACAAGTGGAAAAAGGAGGATTTCGCAGGCTGTTTTCAGCTGCCAGCTTCACTTCTCTGTTCATTCACCATCAGGTGAAGTGGTTCGGTCCCAGTCACCTGCTGGGTCTCCCCACCTCCACCTGTCCTCTCAGGGTTGGGCTCGGCCCCGGGCCGTCTCCCTCTCCTGGGAGACGCTGCTGCTGAATGAAGGAACTGTTTGTGTGATGTTCGGTGGGAACGGGGAACTTGTCGGAGCACAGCAGCCTGTGTGAGTGATAGCTGCAGGCGCCGGGCGTTACCTGTCCCCAGGACACGACACACCTCAGACATGAAGCTGCAGTGATCCTCCTGCAGGTCTGGACTGTCTGGTGTGTGATTAAAGCAGTGTGGGAGATCTCACTTAATCCTCTGACTGATGATTCAGGAGCTTCTGCAGGAAGTCCACCGGCCTGAGAGACACAGAGCAGACCTGATGTTGAACCTTCACCTCTGACAGTCAGAGAACATTCAGAGGGAATCAAGGTTCACTCTGCTGTTTCCATCCACTGACGAATATATGTTGAGGTTCGGTTCTAAACCTTAAAACTCCATATTTTTATTTTGAAGTGTTGATCCATCAGAAGATATAAAAACCATCTCAGTGTAGTTTCACATCTCCTCTCTCAGGCTTCTCTCTGGAGCTCTAGTAACAACAGGTCAGTGAGCCAATCAGAAGAGAGGAGGCTCTGAGCCTCTCTTCTGATTGGCTGACTGTTTTCTGAGTGATCCAATAAAAATATAGCAGATTTCAGGTAAAAACACTCAGAGAAACCAAATCCTGCAAGGTTTGGATGGTGGGTCCAGGTGGGCGGGGCTTGGTGACTGCTTTGTTGTGACATCACAAAGTTCCAGAAGTCCTGACGGCTGGTTTTAAGGTTCAGTTTCTGAATACAGGCTGTGTGCATTTCTCTGTGGACTGAGGCTTTGATACTTTCACAGTATTAATATAGAAGCTAGAGCTGATCTATAATCACACTACACATGGACACAGACCTTTACACTTGATGGAACCTAGACCTGATCTATCATTTTCAAAATAAGAAAAATGGCCGACTGAGGAACCACATCCAACCACGGAGCAGTGTTTACCCTTAAAGAAGAACTCAACAGTTACAGGATGTTTTACTTTGTAAATTCAGCAAAGAGTGACACAATAAAAAACAGAATGGCTGCCAACTCTTTTCTTCTGTCTGCTGTCTCCATAACAATGTTAGAAACCACAAACATGTTTTCATGTTGTTGATTGTTGATTGATTGTTACCATGGTAACATTAGTCTTTATCTTGGTGAAACAGTCAGACCACAGACCAGTCTGAATAACGCTCCTGTCCCCCCCCCTCAGGTGGCCTCAGGTTCGGGTGCCGGCTCCTCGGCGGCGGGCTCGCCCCGGCAGCAGCTCCGTCAGCGGATCACACGCGTTAACCTCAGGGACTTCATCTTCTGTCTGGAGCAGGACCGCACCACGGCGCGCTCCCTCATGCTCTACAAGGCTCTGCTGAAATGAGGAGTGGACCCGCTGCAGACCACGAACTGCATCACCCTTCACCTCCTCTTCCAGTCCTCACATCCTCAGAGTCCGCCTCCTTCGCCCCCCCCCCCCCCCCCCCCCCCCCCCCCCCCCCCTTCAGTCCCTGCAGCTCCTTTTAATCTTTTGGCTTCTAGTTTTACATCTTCGTCATGTTGTTTTGAAACCGTGTCTCATTTTAGTTCCTGCAGGTGTCGACTCTGAGACTGAACTCCACACCTCAGCTTCAGTTCATGTACTGTACCTGTCCTGTGAGGACCGGGTCTCACCTGAGGATCCGGTCTGAACAGAACTGATCCGCGTCCGTCGTACAGGTCTGAACCACTGTGCTGAGCTCGCCACCGTCTCTGCTGATCGACAGGATCAATGAGGTTTTTGTCTCCAGGTGAAACTGGATCCAGATCCACAGAACAGCTGGACTGGATCAAATCAGAGTCAGTGTGGGCTTTTATTCTGGTGAATTAGCAGCTGCTCTGCCAACAGTGTCGAGGAGTCGGGGGGGGGGGGGGGGGGGGGGGGGGGGGGCAGCTCACACAGACACAGGTGTCTTCATCATTGATTCATTGATTAACATTAGAACGAATGTGAATAAAACTGATGGAAGAGAAACAGGAAGTTCTCACAGCGGAGAACCTGGAACCATCAGAACATTTGTCTGCTCTGCTTTAAAATCACTAATAATTCAGTCATAAAATAGTTGCCAATTAATTTTCCTTTGATTGACTAATTAATTGATCATTGATTAAATTATTCCAGCTCTACTCTGAAAATCTGGAGTGACTCAGACAATAAGCTGCTGCTCTCCGTCCAATCAGAGCTCAGCTCTGTCAGGACGGCTTGTGATTGGTCACAGGTTGACCAGGTGGTCGGTGTGATCAGGTTTTTAAAGAACCACAGATCTGTCTTTTATTCCATGTTCTTCTTTGTCAAAAGCTGCTGCCTCCATTACCCACAGTGCACCTGGACCACCGACAGTCAGGTGGTAGATAGTGCTGTGTTATTCTAGCAGCAGCTGATGTATCCTGGAGCCTGCAGCAGAGAAGGGGCGGGGGCTCTTTTCAGACCTGCATTGGTGGGGGGGGCGCACAGCAGGACTCAGCACAGTGGTTCACAGGGTTTCACAGGTGATGGCGGCGGCGGCTGTTTCACGTTGAGTTGTGACGTCGTGTGTCAAACAGAAACACAGCATTCACTAAATACACCTCGCTCACATGTGATTGGCCGATGCAGCGCCCCGTCAGGTGACATCATCCTGAGCTGCAGCTAGGACTGATTCACTTGGAGACACTGAACCGGGAAACACCTGAGTCCAGCTGTAACAGGACAACAGGCGACAGGTGCAGGTGTGAGATCAGGTGTGAGACCAGGTGTGGTCCCTGAGTGTTCTGGTCTCTCTCAGTCTGGTCTGATTCCAGCTCTGTACCTGTGCAGGTGCCTTCCAGTCCACATCCACCCGAACCCCGTCATCCTCTGTCCGTCTCGTGTTCATAGCCCCGCCCCCCTCAGGACTCCGGGCTCCTTGTTTTAAGTTTTTAAAGTTTTCAGATCACGCTGCAACCCGTGAGGTCGTTCACTCACCGTCACGTCACTTCCTGTCATTTCACGCCGCTTCACAGTGGAGCAGCGAGTTTATCGAGCATCGTGTCGTCATGGGAACGTGAAGCGCGAGAACTGTGAAGCTGCAGCGGTGAGAGAACAGCTGGTCGACCATTTTAATGTGTGTGTGTGTGTGTGTGTGTGTGTGTGTGTTTGTGTGTGTGTGTGTGATCATGTTGACGCTCACAGGTTTCAAAGGTTAAAGCAACAGTTCAACATTTAAATTCTTCTCTGAGTTCGACGTTCAGACAGATTCATGTCACTTTAACGACGCGTCAGTGAACGTCACATGAAGCAGGAAGTGACATCACCGTCACTTTCAATGAGCAGTTTCTCCTGCAGCCTCGCAGGTGATGAGGTCATGACTGAAACTAGTGATTCATCAATGATCATGTGGTCTGTGACATCACTGTGACGCTCACAGCTGATCTGTAACTGTTGATATTTAAAGTGACGTGAACGACTGTCAGTCCATTACGTCGTCCGCGAAGACGATAACAAGCGACTTCCTGTCTCGGGTTTGACATGCCCAAGCCCCGGTTGCCGTGGAGACGAGAGGATCAGCCTGAACGTGTGACTCAGAGATGGAGATGGATGTAAATGTTGAATCATCAGGAGCTGGTTCTCCTCCAGAAACTCACTCAGGCTGCGTTCAAGAAGGTTAGAGAACGTTCACAACAAACATTCCTGCAGTTTCCCTTCCTCCTCCTCTTCCTCTTTCTTCCTTCTCTTCCTCATCATCCTCCTCCTCCTCCTCTTCCTCTTTCTTCCTCCTCCTCTTCCTCATCTTCCTCCTCGTCTTTCCTCCTCCTCTCTCCGCCTCCTCCTCTTTCCTCTTCTTCCTCATCTTCCTCCTACCCCCCCACCCCCCCCCCCGGCTGGTGTGTGATTTACCTTGTATCTCTGAGACGTCTGACTCGACCTCGTGCTGTTGAACATTTGAATATTTGAAGATGATGATGATGATGAAGATGCAGTCTGGCTTCACAGTTTTTAGAGGGTGCGTTCACAGAAGGTTTTTAACGCTTTAAGTGTCTCTGGTTTCTCCTGGGTTGTATAGTCTATAGGTCTAACTGCTAACTGAAGCTGTGCTGTATGTACTGTATATTCAGATCCGCCTCTCATCTGTTGGAAGGACGATTTTTGCGACTATTTATATTTCCTACATTCTGAACTCGATCCTGACGCATTTCAGGCCAATGCAATTTTACAGTTGTTTGTACCTTTGCAAAAAAATGAAATAAAGAAAATGACAAAGAAGCAGCTTCGACTTCCTGTGACTGAAAACACGACGTCGTAGACCCTTTAATCAATAATCAATACATCTGTACAAATGAAAAAAGTGTGACACTGAGGAAGCTAACAAATACATTAAATATACATTTCCAAAATGGCCGCTTTATAAAAAGAATTAAATTATCTGGACACGTTTATAAAAACAACCGGACAGATGATCCACATCATCAGCTGATCAGGGTCCGGTCCGGTTCTGTCACATGACTCCAGCCTCCACATGAAAAACAGCAGAGGTCAAAGGTCACTGAGAGTCTCTCAACTCAGTGTACGTCCTGCCAGCTGTGGAGGCGTATGCAGGATCCAGATGTGAGTGTAGAGAGTCTGTAGTCCCTGTTTCAGTCCAGAGGTTCCTGTTTGATCCGGATCGGGGTGCTGGTGATGGACGGGCTGTGCCGCAGGTCCCGACACAGGACGTACTCGCTGAACTGGGACGAGTCGACGCCGCCGCCGCAGGACGCCCTGATGCTGAAGCCCTTCTGAAACAGACGCTCCAGGACCTGCAGTGACGGGGGGGGGGCAGCAGATGTTAGAGACTTACAGGTAAACACACGGGTGAGACATTTAAAGAAACAGTTCCTCATTCTGGTCTGAGATTAAAGGGCCAGTTCACCAAAACCACAGGAACTCGTGTGTGTGTGTGTGTGTTTAGTGAGTATGTGGGTGTGTGTGTGTGTGTGTATTTAGTGTGTGTGTGTGTGTTTAGTGTGTGTGTGTGGGGGGGTGTTTGTGTGAGTGTGTGTGTGTTTAGTGAGTGTGTGGGTGTGTGTGGGGGTGTGTTTAGTGTGTGTGGGGGGAGGGGTGTGTTTAGTGTGTGTGCGTGTGTGTGTGTATTTAGTGTGTGTGTGTGTGTGTGTTTAGTGGGTGGGTGTGTGTTTAGTGTGTGTGTTTAGTGTGTGGGTGTGTGTGTTTAGTGTGTGTGGGGGGGGTGTGTTTGTGTGTTTAGTGAGTGTGGGGGTGTGTTTAGTGTGTGTGGGGGGAGGGGTGTGTTTAGTGTGTGTGTTTTCATTTTGTTGCACTAAACAACCAAACACACCCCCCCCCACCACAACTAAAACACACACCCACACACTAAACACACACACTAAACACACACCCACCCACTAAACACACACACCAACACACACTAAATACACACACACACGCCACACACACTAAACACACCCTCCCCCCACACACACCTAACAACCCCCACACACCCACACACTCAACTAAACAACACACCCTCCACAAACACCCCCCACCACACACATAAACACACACTCACACACTAAATACAACACACACACACACACCCACTACTCACTAAACAAACACACACACCGAGTTCCCTGTGGTTTTGGTGACTGGCCCTTTAATCTCAGACCAGAATGGAGGAACGTTTCTTACATGTCTCCCCGTGTGTTTACCTGTAAGTCTCTACATCTGCTGCCCCCCCCGTCACTGCAGGTCCTGGAGCGTCTGTTTCAGAAGGGCTTTCAGCATCAGGGCGTCTGCGGGGCGGCGTCGCTCGTCCCAGTTCAGCGAGTACGTCCCTGTTCGGGACCCTGCGGCAACAGCCGTTCCCATCACCAGCACCCCGATCCGGATTCAAACAGGGAACTCTGGCTGAAACAGGGACTACAGACCTCTCTACACCACATCTGGATCCTGCATACGCCCTCCACAGCTGGCGGAGTACACTGAGTTGAGAGACTCTCAGTGACCTTTGACCTCTGCTGTTTCTATGTGGAGGCTGAGTCATGGTGACAGAACCGGACGGCCCTGATCAGCTGATGATGTGGATCATCTGTCCGGTTGTTTTTATAAAGTGTCGCAGATAATTTAATGTTTTTATAAAGCGGCCATTTTGGAATGTAATATTTAATGTATTTGTTAGCTCCTCAGTGTCACCTTTTTCATTTTGTACAGAATGTATTGATTATTGATTAAGGGTCTACGCTTCGTGTTTTCAAGTCACAGAAGTCGAAGCTGCTTCTTTGCATTTTCTTTATTTCATTTTTGCAAAGTACAAACAACTAGTTAAAATGCATTGGCACGAAATGCGTTCAGGATGAGTCAGAATGTAGGAATATAAATATCGCCCAAAAATGTCCTTCCAACCAGATGAGAGGCGGGATCTGAATATCAGTAATACCAGCACCCAGCTTCCCAGTTAGCCCAGTTACGACCCTATAGGACCTATAACCAAGGAGAAAGAGACCACTTAAGTTTAAAAACTTCCTGTGAAGATCTAAAACCTGTGAAGAGATGCCCTCTTTCTTATAATCACCTTCAAATTATTAAAATGTTCACAGAAGAGGTCGGTCAGACGTTCCAGAGATACCAAGGAAAATCAAACAGGCCGGGGGGTGGGGGGGGGTTATTTGTTATTAGGGGAAGATAGGAAGAAGAGGAAAGAGGAAGGAGGAGGAGAGGAGGAAACCAAAATGTAAAGCGGTATAAAACACGACGATATAAAAAACAAAGAAGAGGAAAGACAAGAGAAGAGACCAAATAAAGAACAAAACGAGATAAGATGAGAACTATAGAATGCCCAGATATAATTATAAAAGGACCGAGGAGGAAGATGAGAAGAGGAGAGGAAGAAAGAGAAGAGGGGAGGAGATGATGAGGAAGAAGAAAAAGAGGAAGGAGGAGGAAGAAACCCTGAGGAATGTTTGTTGTAAGTACTACTAACCTTTGACGAGACTGAGTGAGTTTATGGAGGGAAACGTTGGGTTGTATAGTATAGGTCTAACTGTAACTGAAGACTGTGCTGATGTAACTGTTATTCAAGGCCTACTCATCTGTTGGAAGGGAACGATTTATTGGAAATAAATTACTACCATTCTGAAACTCAGAACTGCATTTCAAGGAAATGAATTTTAGTTGTTTGTACTTTGACAAAAAGAAATTAAGAATGAAAAGAGCAAGCTTGATTCTGTGATGAAAAAAACGACGTAGTGATTTAATCAATAATAAACACTGTAAAATGGAAAAAAGTTGTGAACCTGAGGAAGACCTAAAATAAATTAAAATATTTAAAATGGGCCACGTTTATAAAAGAAGAATTATTATCCTGGACCAGTTTATAAAAAACAAGGCAGGGATGATCAACATATAGTGATTTAGGGTACAGGTAGGTCGTACAATGGACTAAAGAATACACATGAAAACAGACAAGGATAAAAGAGTCAAAATAGAAAGAGATAATATAAAAATGATATACGTCATGAAAAAGCTGTGGAGGGTATGAAGAGAATACAGATGTGAAGTGTAGAAGAGATCTAAGTATCTGTATCAGTAAACCAGAGTTCTGTAAATAATGATTCAACGGTGGAAGAGTGTAAAAAAACTGAATGGAACAGAGATGATGAAAGTTAAAACGAAAGGACCGTACTAAGTGAACTGAGGAGAGTGACGGGCGGACGCTGAATGGAGCCTCTAGAGCTGGAATGTGCGGTGGGGAGAGATTGTTAGGAATTAAAGTAAAGAGGTGAGAAATTATAGACAGTTTTATTCTGGTCTGAGTGGAGTTCACCCAAGGAATCCGTGTGTGTGTGGGGTGTGTGTTTAGTGAGTTGTGGGTCGTGTGTGTGTTGTGTGTATTTTAAGGTGTGTGTAGGTATTGTGGGTGTATGGGGTGTTGTGGTGAGTGGTGTGTGGTAGTGTGTGAATATGGATACAAGGTCGAGACTGCCTTCTGTTCGTAGCGCTCGGTGTACCAGGCGCGGTTCTTTAGGTATTTAGGCTGACCAGCCAGCCGGCTGTGTATGTACGGCGGGTGGAACGGCGAGTAGTCAAGATGAGCTAGGTTTATCAGCGGAGGTAAGTAGAAGCGAGGTGTATTAGTTGTGTGTGTGAACAAGAGAGGCGTGCTCGTGTGGTAGGAACCTAGTGTAGGGCAACTGCAGCACCATTATATGAAACTCAAGAGCTTGAGGCTTGGCAGTGTGTGTGGACCGTTTGTGTGGATGTTATGAAGGAACAGGGATGTGGTGGAGGAGCGAGTGATAGCGTGTTGCTGTGTTGTGTAGGTCTTTCTCTAGCTGTGCGTAGTGCAGCAACCGGTAGACCTGGGTCAGGATTCGATGTCCAGTATGTCATGTTGCAGGTTATTGAATTCAATCACGATGAGTTGGGTACTGCCGTGTGTAAGTTTGGGTCCTCAGACCTAAAACGCTCTTTTTTGGTGATCGCCTTTCATGAGACCCGTTTTGGTTAAGACTGGAGGGACCAGTCAGCATTGGCCCATATCGTGGACAAATAATGCTGCATGGATGTGGTTAACATGCATAGGTGGTATCTATGTGCTGATGGTATGAAGGATAGTTCTCTATATTAAGATGAATGTTAACTGTCTACAAACGCTGTAAGATTCAGTTGAAATTAACATAGTATAAGTGTGGATAGTTTAATTCTGTTTGCTGGTTGTGCGGGTGTGACCTACTTCGTCTGCTCGACGTGTTTCTAAGGTGCGCGTCCGGTTCTGCTTGTCTTTCTTTCTTGTTGGCTCTGGCTGTTGTTGCGCATGCGGAGCTGGCCCTCTTCCCAGTTTCGCTGTTTCCTCAACACATTCCTCTTTTTATTTGAACAAAAAAACAGTAGAAGTGATGTAGTTTATATGGTTTAGAAAAGCAACTATGAAGAAATTGTGTTTACGCAACCAAAAGGTAATGCTAAAATACGATGTTAAATGATCGCTGTTCTCCGGACACTCCAGAAAATGCATGTATCATGTTATATATGTTTTACATATTAACCGAATTAATAAAGACAATAATCAACTCAATAACCATGGGCCAGTAAAAATAATGCTACGTCATGTCAAGATTGATTGATCCAGGTATGAGATTTTTAAATAGTCCTTATTTCAGATGTAAGCGCTGGTATAACAAAACTACATGAAACACAGCACGTCTCCTCCCCCAGGCTTTCTTCCACCTCATCAGTCTCCAACATCTTATGTAACAGATCCATCCACCTCTGAGGACTCCATATCAAATCTGCATGTGCACAGTCACGTCAGAGGAATATAGTGATGCCATGTGTGTTCATGCTGCGGCTTGCTCCTCTGTAATCCATGGCTGACTGTTTCAGATGTATCACGTGAAAATAAATACTATAAGAAATGACACGAATATGATGTTTCTCTGTCAAAGGTGTCAAGATTGTATTCTTCTAGTTTTGTAGTCGATAAATAGGAGATTATTGGGTTGGATTAAGACGAAGAAAACGTCGTGTGTGTGTGTGTGGGTGATGATGATGATGTGTTGATTGATGTAGATGTGTGTGTAAGAAATGTGAATTAGTAGAATGTGATTTGTGTGGGTCCCAGATAGTGACAGTATTACGATTAGGTGATAAGAATATTGATTGTACATCCTCATAATGTAACATTGATGAATGCAGCAAATAAAAAGAGTTTAAAGGTAGAAGGAAAAAAAATACATGCCTGAGGCAGAGAATAGAGGTCGCTTCCAGGTCGCGAACATGTGAGCTCGCATTACGTATAGCA